TAATTCTGCTTTACATGCTTATCATTTTGTTATTTATTTCATTCACTATATTCTTTAATGCTATTATCGAAGTTATCAACTCCTTCATTCTTTCTTCTTGTCTCTCCTCAATTCTATTTATTCTCTCTATTAATGTCTTGATATCTGGGTTTGTGGTTTGAGGCCAGTCATTCTGGGGGCTCTTCATTGTTTGTGTTCTGAAGTCTGTACTCTCAGTGTCTGACCTCCCAGGCATCTGGTTTTTCTTCATTTGTGTAGATTTTCCTCCCTCCTCCCCCCCCTTCTTTAATTCTGTTGTCCAGCGATGGGGAGATAGCTTTATTTCTGTTTGCTCAATCTCCTATTCTTTCTTATGTGTATCCTCTGACTTTGTTCAATTCTGAAGCTGGACTGTTGTGAAAGGCTGTACCTTTTGCAGTTTTGATATTTAATTGAGGGGGTAGCTGTGATTCATAATATGTCTGCAGATCCCAGTATCTACTGACAGGTGTGTGGGCCCCCTGGAACCCACTTTCCACTGCTTTACAGTCTGTCCACACAGTGGGGGTATAGGTTTGCTCCTTGAAAGCAAAATGAGGTAAGAAAAAGGAAAAGAATGGAAAAAGCAAGGGGAGGGGGTAAGAGGAAGGTTGAGAGAAAGGAGTAAGAGGGAAAGCAGATAGACATACCAACTAACGAAAGAAAAGAGAAACAAAGTCAGAAAAGAGTTTTTAAAAAACTAAAACATATAGATAATCATACAAACACACAAACCAACAAAAAATCCCCTACTGATATACTCTCCCTCAAAAATACTCATACACAGATAGGAAGTCTTTAAAAACAGCAATAAAATAACAGTAACAAGGCAAGTATGAAAACATTATCGAAAACTGAAAGAGAGAGAAAAAAACAAAACAAACAAAAATGAGCAAAACAAACAGACAAAAGAAAAAACCTCGCTCTGAGGTGGTTCCTGTAAGTCCAACTTTCTTTCAGCTCTGATCTCCAGCCCCTCCCCTCTGCTTTCAGCTCAGGCTAATAGAATTGCTCTCAGTATGGGTCAGATGCCCCAGACCTACTTTGGGAGGAGGGTGGATCAGATCTGGACTCACCTGGCTTGCTACCTGTCAAGTCTCCTACTCAGCTCTAATGTGTCTGTGTCTGATCCAGCATGGAGTGGGGGCTTGTCTCTCCAAGTTCGATGAGATTACCTTAGGTTACAAGTTGGAGGCTGGGTGGAGCTGGATGGGGCATTGCAGGTCTCTGCCTGGTCTGGGACAGAGAAAATGGCTGCAGTTGGCATTTCCTCACGGGGGCTGGGGCTCCTCTCCAGCTCTCCCCATCTTCTCTCTCCACTGATTAGATTGCGGCTCCAACCACTTTGCTGTCACAGATGATGGTGTGGGCCAGGCTCCAGGTGATGAGAATCAGCTGTATTCGAGCTTTTTCAGGAGAGTCCTGAGAGCTGCAGACAATCCTGCACCCTGGCGACTTTAATGGGGGGTTGTCATCATCTCTGGAGAAGAGCCCTGGGTGCATGAACCAGAGTCTCCCCTCAGATGGGCTTTCGCTCACCCTCCAGCACATGCCTACTCAACACAGATAGTCTTTGTGGACACTGGATTTTGTGGAGACTCTCACAGTCCCACCTGTCCAGTTGCCATCTTGCTGGAAATGAGCCTTTTTGTTGTTTTCTGACTGTTTGAAATATCCTATCTCCCTCTCTTATTGGTCCTCTGTGCTTTCTGTAGTGATAATGTTGAATTTATTTCTTTCTCGTGTGTTTTTGTGCCCTTCCAGTAAGTTTTATACTTTAGTTGTTTTCATGATGTTAATGTATGAGGGGGGACCTAAAAAATGGAACTTATTTATAAAAATTGTGTATTTATTCTTATATGTTTAGACTTCAGTCACCTTCAAAGTATTCTCCCTTTGATGCAGTACACCTGTTGAAACATTTTTTTCACTGCTCAAAACAGTTTTTGAACTCTTCAATTATGATATGTTTTAGTGCTTTAGCAGTTGTTTGTTTCACCTCTTTCACATCAAGAAAACGTTTCCCTTTGAGGCCTGTTTTTTTAATCTGGGGAAACAAAAAAAAAGGTCACTGGGGCTAGATCAGGTGAATAGGGAGTATTGGGCACAGGGGTCATACCGTTTTTGGTCAAAAACTGCTGAACTCTCAGTGCAGTGTGGGCAGGCACGTTTGTCATTATGGAAAAATCAATCACCTGTTTGCCACAACTCGGGACATTTCTCCCGCAAATCATGACACATCCTTCTCAAAACCTTCAGATAGAAACTAGTTGACCGTTTGATCTGAAAAAACAAATTCCAAGTGTACTACAAGGGGCCTACCCTCTGAAAGATAATTTCAGGTTTTGGGGGGGGCCTTTCTTGTTTTCTTTTCACTTCCAGGTGTAAGACTCCCTTTAAGAATTTCTTGTAGATTCAGTTAGTGGTAACAAATTCCCTCAGTGTTTTTTTATTTTGGAAAGACTTTATTTTTACTTTATTTCTGAAGAATAGCTTTACTGAGAATAGTACTATTGGATGCCATTTTGATATATTATCCCGTTCTCTCCTGGCCTGGAAGATTTCTGCTGAGAAATCTTATTAGAACTTTCTGGATTCTTTTCTTTCACTGATTTTAAAATTCTGTTCTTGAGTTTGACAGTTTGATGACAGTGTGCCTCAGAGAGGACCTTTTGGGTTGTATCTATTTTGGAGTCTTCAATCTTCCTATACCCAAATGTCTATATCTCTTTCAAGACTTGGAAAGTTTTCAGGTATTATTTCTTTTTTGATTGATTGTTTTTAATTTTTTAATTTTTAATTTTCATTTATTTTTTTTTTGAGTTGGAGTCACTCTGTCACCTAGGCTAAAGTGCAGTAGCACACTCTCAGCCACTGCAGCCTCAACCTGCTGGACTCAGGTGATCCTTCCACTTCAGCCTTCTGAGTAGCTGGAACTATAGGCACGTGCCACCATGCCCAGCTCTATTTTTTTATTTTATTCTAAAGTTATGGGGTACTATTCAGGATTAGGTAGTTTTCCATTATTATTTCATTGAATATATTTTCTATATCCTTTTCTATCTCTTCTCTTTCTTAAACTCCCAAAATTTAAAAAGTTGTTTATTTGATGGTGACACATAAGCTTTCTTCATTCTTTTTTATTTTCTTTCTTTAAAAAAAAAATCCACTTGGGATATTTCAAAAGACCTGTCTTTAAGTTCAGAAATTCTTTCTTTTGCTTGTCTGATCTATTTGAAACTCTCAATTCCATTTTCTATTTTATTCACTGAGTTCTTTAGTTCTAAGATTTTTCTTCTGTCTTTTTAATAATACCTCTTTGCTGAATTTCTCATTCAGATCATGAATTATTTTCCTGTTTTTACATTTTGTAATCTGTGTTTTTTGTTGTTTATTTTGGGGTTTGGGTTGTTTTTTTTTTTTAATCTCACTTTGTTTCCTGAAGATCATTATTTTGAATGCCTTTTCAGGAATTGCATAAATTTTTTTTTTGGGAGGTCTGTTACTGAAGAATCATTATGTCCCTTTGATGTGTAATTTTTTTTCTTTTTTTGGCTTTTTTATGTTTCTTTGACTTTACATTGATGTCTGCACATCTGCTGTAATTGTCACTTCTTTCATTTTTATGGTGTAGCTTCCATAGGGGAAGATTTTTCCCTGTAGATGTAACCATAATGTTGGTCAGATAGGGTACTTTGACTTTTGTTCTGGGTGGGCATTACAGTATAGTCTCATATGATTACTTCAGCTGTAATCAATGTCAGCAGTATCTGTGAGTTTCATAGTGGCTTAGACTGCAGTTGTTTATGGAGGTTATGGTGAGGTTTTGTTGGAGATGGCAGCACCAGGCAGGCTGGTGGTCCTCAAGACCCTAGGAAGCATGTGGGGGCAGTGGTGGTGGTGGTGATGGCTTGCCCCAAGTGGATCAGTCTTTGTACCCAGGCAGAACATGTAGTTGTTAACAGTGACAGCAGCAGGCCCCAGGTCAGCCAGTCCTTGGATCTTCAGGCAGAGTGTGAAGTTTCCAGTGGGCCAAGCAGTTTGCTCCTCAGGTTTTCAGGCAGGGCATGTGGGCACCAGCAGTGTTCACCATGGGCCAGGCAGGCCAGTCCATGGACCCCTGCAAGTAGCATGTAAGCAGTGGCAGTGTCTGAAGTGGACCAGCATGTAAGTCAGGCACACAAGCATAGGCAGTGTTCATGCTGAGCTAGGCAGGTATAATCTTTTATTTTAATTTTTGAAAGTTTTTCAAACTTTTTACCTACTACAAAATACATACATTCCAAATGAAGAAACTCAGTTTCTGTCCCCATGTTTACTATATGCCACTTCTTTCAATTATATTTTTCTCTCTAAATACAAGTTTTCCCACTAACTATTTTTAACATTTTTTTTCCAGCAGAAATCCTGATATATGCCAGCTTGCCTTATTCAGCCTATAAACCTTGCCTAACGGCTATATGCCAGGTATTGTGATAGGAAAACTTCCTATGCAGAATCAGATTAGCTTAGCATTAGATGGTCATCTAAATTAATCCTATGAAAGGTATGTGGAAATCTAGATTAAATCCATAAATGGACTATTATCTCAAGTTAGTAGTATTGGTAAGGTTTTCACAATAGTTCAATGAATGGCCTCACAACACAAAGCTATTCATACATATTTCATTTTGGAAAGCATATATAAAAATCAGATAGATGATAGATACAAAGAAATGTAAAAATCAGATAGATGATAGACAGACAGATAGATGATTGATAGAGAGGTGTAGGTCAGTAGATAATAACTACATAGTAGTCATCCAGAATCTTACTCCTTTTTCTGTAATTTCTGTCAATTACATTGCTTTTTTCCTGATTTCTGACAGAAAAACAGGAAGAGAAAATAATGAAATCTTACAAGTAAGCAGAAAAATGTAGATACACTTAGTTTTCAAAGCTGTTCAGTTCATCTTGTAACAAAGTCTTGTTCTTTTTCTTAGACCAGAAGATCAATTCAGAAGTTATTAGAATGGGAAAATAACAGATTATATCACAAGGTAAGAAATTATAAGCAAATAATATATATATATATATTTGCATTATTGAATTGAAAAAAATGAATACTAAATGGGAATTTTTTAGGCCATAAAGAAATTGATTAGAGAACTAGTACTTAATTTTTAATATTCATTATTTGCAAGGCATTAAGTACTCTGTTTTATATCTTGTGCTTATTCTTGTTTGTTTTCAGTGATTATCCAAGTGTATAAGTTGTTACTAGTTAAAATTGATATAAAATTCTTAACAAAACTATACTTTCTTAGCTTGCTTTGCACTGGAAGTTGACTAAAAGGAAATGCGAAACTAGCAATATGATGGAGTATGTAAGTATGAAGTTGTTTTTAGTTACATTTTTTTTGGATTATTTATAAATGTAACACTTTACTATGTTTATCATTTGTCAGCTATTCTTTTTTTCTCCTAAGCCTGAAGCAAAACTAAAATATTTTCAAAGCTAACAATTATTTGGATCTTAGGACTAAGTTTCAGCTAGTATGCTCAAATGAAAACATTGTACAATCTTAATCTTCTTTTAACATAGGTACAAACCACAGCATATAGTAGTGGGGATAGCTGCTGTTGAACAAATATTTCTAAATGTAATCTTGTCAGAACTTGCATAAAATAGGAATTGACTTCTGGTTTCTAGATTCATATTCCTGGCTTTTTTGTTCCTTGGCTGATATTTAACTTTTAGTGAAGAAACTATAAGTTCTAATTTTTCAGTATTGAAAGCTATACAATTGTAGTCATAAAACATAAATTTGCCTATAGCCAATGTGATCAGTTTGCATCATTAACATTCAAAAGAATATTAAATTTATTTAAGCTTCAAGTTGTCGACATGTAGTATATATTTAACAATAAATATTCCATTTGCATTTTAAAAACAAGGTTTATTATGGTATCTCTCTCCGCTTTGAATAGTTTGGGGGAAAATATGCAAATGACCACAAATCTAAAATCCTCTGTAGATAAAACATCCAAAAGTATCTTAGGTTTTTATGATTGTGTTTTCAAACCTTTCTGTAATTCAAATGTTTTAATCAATCCATTTAGGCACGTTATTTTTCATAAACAACTTTTAAAAGATAGTAATCCTCAACTAATATCAGCTGCTTTCATTGAAAAGTATATAGATATAATATAAAGATCTTTTCAAAACCTGTATAACAGTTTTAATTTCTTTTACTTTGCTAAAAGAAAGGGAGAGACTGGGGAAAAGACATGGTAATATAATAGGGTTTGCTCTTGAACCTAAACAAATAGTTATTGTAAATCAGGTAATAAAAACTGTTAGCTACAATAAGTAGTTTTGTCTGCCAGCTTCATTTTTAAATTGGCAATTTAATGACAATTTGTCGTTTTAGTTCTTTACATAGTTCTGTTTCATGTTATTTAACTTATTTTATGTAGTGCAGAGTAAAAATGTAGTCTTGTAAAAATGATTTGAGACTTTCTGGGTTATATATAAGTATAGTCAATGAAAAATATTTTGTCAATATATTCTTGTTTTTATTTTTCAGGTAATACTAATAGAATTCTTACCAAAATATCCCATATTCCGACCTGACTGAGGAGTTTTATCCAGTCACTTCTGTGTTACCTGTCATTTCCTACCCTTAGTGCCTTGTAGATGATTTTGGAATGAAGATGGTCTCCTTTGCTGTGTTCAACTTATTCTTTATAATGGTAGAATATTATCCTCGCTCTCTTATTTGTGTTGGTTTATGAAGAAAAATTGCACATTTTTTCGTTGTTAAATGAGGCTTGTGTTTTGCACTCTCAGTTTTTAAGTAAATACACACACATGCATAGACGTATATAAAATAGTTGCCACTAAAGATAAAACATCAGTGCTGGTGTTTGAAAAACAAAAACTTATTCTGAGCATGCTGCCTTATAATTTCCATATTCACTGTTTCTAAATATGCATCATTTTTCTAGGCTACTTGATGCTCTGTAATCCCTTACTGGGCATATTTAAATAAGCTTTTGGTAGCTTTTAGAAATGGTTTTACTCTGCTCTTAAAGGATATGCAATTAATAGCACTGGTTTTGTCCTGCACTTTGCTAAATTACCACTTATATTAGTGGATAAAATATTTAAACTCCTAAAGACTTGTAAATATTGTCTCTTTGCATAATGTAAAATGTGATATGCCATGGTTTACAGAATGTAATATTACTCTTACTGTATTGCCAACAATTCTACATAGATTTTAATATGAATGAAATTTGCAAGCATCATTTTGAATGTAGAGACTGCTAACATGCCATTTTATGGCAAAGCCATAATAAGTATGTTAAGAATTTCAGGCATAGGGCAGGGTTGCCCTTTGTAACAAAGGGATTAAAATTGAAATTGTCATCTCAGATATTCTGAATTGCACCTGAAACCAAGAATCTTATTTTTTTCCCCGTTTCATTTAGTAATTTTCATTTTGTTCTCCACTCCTACACCCCGAAGAATTTGACATCTGACATATTTCACAGCCTTACTATCCTTCATTTATTTTCCTTTATGTAGCCTTTCTCAATTTTGAAAATACACACAATTATGACCTTTAAGTATTTTGTGATGAGGTATCTAGACCCCCATGAAAGCCATTACCAACCCCTTTCTGGAGTTCTGATATTCTACTGTAGGAAAGAGAGATAACTGAGAAGCTGTACCTAAAGAATATATAGTAACTAGTTCATAATTGATAAAATATTATCAATCCTTTTTTTGAGGAACTTTTTAACACATGTATATTATTAGTTTGGACAAAAACATTTTAGTTTATAAATTCACCACACAGGTAGCCATTTCATTGGTGCATGTTTCTTTCTTTCTCGTCACAATTAAAATGAGTGAGAGCACTGTATTCTAATTCTACTAAAATTTGAAACTTTAGTATAACAAAAGCTTTATATCACAATTAACTCAACTGCAAGTGTATGCCTGCTTGCAGGCATTTTTGTAATTTATAATGCTAAAAATAAGTTAAAAGTGTCTAGGACTAAATATTTTATTTATCATCTTACTCTTCTTGCTTTTAGTAAACTTTTTAGGTAACCATTCATTCCAGTGAAGATAACAATAATTTCTTCATACAAAGTCTTCTTAAGCCACTTTTAAAATTTATGTCTAATTTGAAATCCAGTTTGATCAGTTTAAAAAATAGAAGACAGAAAAAGGAGACACTATTTGATATGTGATTATAATTGTTTGCACACTTTTCCACCTCCCTCTATAGAGCCCCATCACCCCATGCCACACAGCCACCCAGAATCTCTAATTTTTAATGTATTGTATATGCCTGCAAATATCATGTGTATTCCTGCTGCAAAATTTGAGGTGTATTTTTATAGACAATGTGGAAACCTCTGAAAATGCATACCAAATGTCTTGTTTTATAGCTAAGGTCAGGGAAAAATTGTATCTGTGGTTTATGTTCCAGCTAATGTCATCAAATTTATGCTTCAAACTGTGATATTTTAATACCAAAATTGATTTCCAGCATAATACACAATTTCTAATCATCAATAATAGAATATTTGCTTTTAAGTGTCAACCCTTAAAAGTCTTAATTTTTTCTGTAACCTTAGAATGTGATCATACAGTGGTCATAGTAACTTTCTGCATTTGTAAATCACATTTGGTTTTGCTCAGAGAACAGCAGAAAGTGATGAATTGTTTCTATGAAACAAAATATTGAGATGAGAGTAGACTATATCTGGAAGTGACAGAGTATAATTCGAGTTACAGTACTATTTTTCATACAAACTATTTGCCAGCATGTATAATCTTAATTTTAAAACCTACTGTAATCACTCTTAAGTTTATTATTTTATTGTTTTTTATGTTGTTTGACTCATTAGTTTCTTGAACTACTCAGAAAACATCCAATTTTCTTTTTGTCTCCTCTTGTATGACTACTTTTTCAAACTGTTTTCCCTTATAGGGGCTAATTAGCAGTTGGGCATTTTGGAGTGTTTTGGGAGGGGTTGTGTTCTTTTCAATGAAATTGGCTACAGTGAATGCTGAAATGACAGAGCACATTGTGGTAACTAATTCCTCCCCCATTGAGCCTTTTTTCTTTTATTTTTAGGATACAACATACTTGTATTTTCCCATTAGGTTAGTAAAGTATTTTTGTGAAAGTTGTTTTTACGTTGAAGACAGTAACTTTTAATTTCTTCGCAAAACAATATCCCTTTATGAAACCTTTTGTGGTAATTTTCAGAGAAAAATAGCATATATTTGCCAAAGTATATAAATCTCACAAGGCTTTGAGGTTAAAAGTTAAAACTGTCTTTTTAAAATTAATGTTCCAATGCTTCTTATTTAGCCCAAGATTCTGGCTTAATAAATTGGTACAACTGGTCATTTTTAAGCTTGTCCAAAAGGCCAAAAGCATGTGTATCATTAATAACTAATATGGAGAAGTGTCATTTACAGATTTATTAACTCCATCCCAGACATGTCTTTACTCTTTGTTCCCTCCAAACCTCTATGTTAATTTAGGAAAGAGACCATTGTAGTCAAACTTCAAAAGAAGATGGAGAAGTGCCTTGTCTTTTTTGAACAAAGATATTACATTGAAGGAAACAGAATAAATGAATTGATAGATCATTAAGCTAATCCTTTTAAACTAAGTATATCAATTTACTAGCATATTATATTTATTTTATTTATTATACAAGACCTGTTTCTTTGTGTTCCTCCAATCATGTGATATATTAGTGACAAAATATTACAGAACAAAGCTATCAGTCACTTAAAAATTAGAATAATTCTAATACTAGTAAACATGTAACTTAACATGATTCTGAAAGGACAGTGGTCTTTGATTAAAGCCCTACCAAAGCCCCCTTAATATTTAATGCACATACTATTCATGTTATTATTAGTAAACACTAATGTTTGAACAGTTAATAAAATTGTGTTAATATTTATCATTCTACCATTTTTAATTAAATGTAGTTTTTGGATAATTTGAGTAAAGTTTAATGTTTGTAAACCTTTGAACAAATGGTTTTTTCCAAATATTTGAAAGCTTTAAAAAAAGCATTAACATTTTTATTTTGTTTGTAAATAAGCTGCCACTTAAAAAAAATTAAACCTCACTACTTGAACATAAAGCCTCCAAACAAATATTTTACTAGAATTTACTATGTTGACCTAGAGGAATACAGAAATTATATTCACCTGATTAACTGGAGTAGTGTCATACAGTGAAAATACTTTTTGCTAATTTGATATGTGCTCAAATTCATTGAAATTAAGTTCTCTTATGCCTATAAAAGTCAGCTTTTTAAAAAGTCTATTTTACAATAATTGTCAAATTATTTGAGTTCCTATAAATGGTAAACAGTTGGGAAATTTTGCACAGAAAAGGAATAGATTTTGTTAATACCTGTTTATATAATGTGTGAACTAAAAACAATAGAATGTGTGTGTGTATGAATGTGTAAATGAATGATCTTATCTTGCCTCAAATATTCCTTACCTGATTCTGAGCCAGCCTTTTTATTTTAATGATGGTAACCTGAGAATATGTTCCATTTTCTGTGGACTTTGTCAAATTCATACCATATGAGGAAATGTTCTAATATTGTGGGTCCTAGGCAAGTCACCTAAATTGCATATCAGTCTCTTCATTTGTAAAATTACAGAGTTGAACCTAGATTTAGACAGAAAATTAGAAATCATTTAACATTCTATGATTCTAGGAATCCTTAAGAAATTTTTACCCTACAGGATATCAGAATGATTATTCTCGAATCTCCTACCCATGCTGGAAACTCTCACAATCCCTTTCCAGTAAAAGTTTAATTTACTTACTAGCTACTAGCTGATGTTTGTTAATATCACAAAGATTCAAATAACCTGTTGCCTGCTAGGATGAACTTGTTGTGCATCCATGCTGATACGAGTGAATGTAGTTTCCCTGGAAACTAAAGACTGAGGTCCGTGTGTTTTGCCTATGTGGAATCTGACTATGTAGTTGGTATTCAGGCAAGAATTATAACTGTGATAACAATGGAAATATGAGAGGACCCACTTTGACATTTATGTAAAGAGTTTCATATCCTGTCCAACATCTGCTTTAATGTCTTATCAAGTTCCATACCTTCAAAAAGATATATTGAAACAGATTAATAAAATTAGGTGGAAAGGGAAGTGGTATGGAATTCAAACCTAGGTCACTTTTGGTTTAATTCTTAGCTCTGCTGCTTAATTCCTCTGTACCTCATGTCCTCATTGTTGATGTGGGGACAATAATTTGGACCTACCTCACAGGGGAATTGAGGATGTTTTTCATATATTTAGTGTGCTTTGATGTTGACTGAAAGATGTATTAGATATAAGAACTGTATAGTTTCTAAATCAATTTCTTTAAATCCATGTTGCTGTTTTATTTCTTAGTCAGATCCCATAGAATGAGTGTTGCAGTTAATCTGTTTTCAGTAGTAACGTTTGTTATTAATCCCTTATGTGTTAAACATGGGTAGTTGTGTTATGTTAATACTTGATTTAGGGAGGAAAAGCCGGAGTATGTAAACTGGTGGTTCCCAACTTGAGGCTGCTGAAGATAGCAGTGGGAAGGTATCCTTGAGCCTTTTTCAATATCTCAAGAAATATACTAGAAATTATACATTTACTCATAACATTCCTACTGCACAAGCCAACTAAGATACTGCATTTCTATGCAGTTTGCCTATATTTTTTCGATTCTGTCAATTAACACTGCTTATCACCACTTAGCAGAAGTTGTGATTGGCAGTATGCTTTTGATTAATTTTTAAAAATGAAAAAGCCTATTATTATATACACTTAGTAAGTACTTGAAAATATCAGGAAGGACCAATGAAGGGATTTTTATGGTGAAAATGTTGGGAACCACTTTTATAAAGAAACTAATATTATTTGACTCCCTCTACAGATTGCTTACCTAGTCTCTAAATAATGAAATACTAGAATGTGTGTGCACATGCATGTATGTGTGTGTGAGGGCTATATAACTTCAGATTCGAATTTGCCTTCAGTTTTTTTTGTTTGTTTCAGGATGATATAACTAAGCTAATTTATTTAGATGTGTACACGTTACTCATACATACACACACATA